TTTGTATACATGTTCTTAATCAGATCATATGTTTTTCCTCCAATGCCACTTTCAAGTAGCCTATAGAAAAGGCCCTCGTGCCAGATGGAATCAAAGGCTTTTTTGAAGTCAACGAAACATGCATATACCTTTCTTTTCTTAATTTTTAATTCTTGATCAATTAAAGTCTGGAGGGTAAATAGAAGAAGCCAATTGTGGTCATGAAGAAAGTTGACAAGTCGTTTATTAATAATGTTGCAGAATATTTTTCCCAGGTTACTGGAGACACATATTCCTCTGTAGTTATTTGGATCATATTTGTTTCTGGATGTATGAGTTGGGGTTATTAAACCTTTGTTCCGGATGTCTGGAAAAGCTCCAGTTGACAGAATAGTGTTGACTAGTTTTAGTATAGCCAATCTGATTTTATGGTCTGAGTATTTGATCATTTCGTTGAGGATTCCATCAATACCACAAGCCTTTTTTCCTTTCAGGGACTGGATGACTTCTGTTAATTCTTGTTCTGTTACTGGGTAATCTAGAGGGTTTTGGTTGTTTTTTATCACCGCCTCCAGAGTTTTCCATTTCGTGAATATCTTGTACTGATCATAATTTTTTGTAATATTACTGTATAATTCACTAAAGTGATTAATCCAAGTATTTCCATCTTGGATTGCCAATTCATCCTGCTGGGTTTTGTTTAGGTTGTTCCATTTCTCTCAGAACTGGTTGGATTCGAGGGATTCCTCGGATTTCACAGAGCTGGTTCTTGCTTTGTTGTTCTTTCTTTGTTTTTAGGGTGTACTTGTATTGTTTCAGAGTGGCCTCATATTGACAGCGTATGTTGTGGTTATCTGGGTCTCTATGCTTTTAAAGTATTTATTTATTTATTTTTACCAGCTCTGGGTTGGTCAAAATAATGATAATATATAATAATAATAATAATAATAATAATAATAATAATAATAAAATAAAAAGTATATTAGTGAACAGTGCTGCAATGTAAGCTAAAGTTAATCGTCAGGGACAAATGCGCCCATCAAAGTCTGTCCACTAAAAGTTAACTAACCACTGACTCACAGGCTCAGATTGTTATTCTAAATGTCTGACAACATTATGGAAAGGATCCCTTCAGAGATAGACCTTTTGTTAAATCTCCACCAGCCTCCATAGACAAAAACGCAAATTTGACGTACCAGCAGCTTTGATAGAAATAAATCCTTAATGTAGATGATAAAAACAGTTTCAGTCGCTCTACTCAGCTGTACACAGAGCAGACTGGCTATGGAAACAAACCATAGAGAGGCTGTGACAGGCAGAGGGAGAGAGACACCATGACTCCACTGTATCTTTACCTAGAGAGTAGCTGTTAGCTGCTATATTCATGTGTTAAATCTCACATATAAAATCATTAACATGATTATGCACTGTTTTTCCTCTCTAGTCTTGTGTCCTACCTAAAGCATCGCCAGGCTAGGGGCCGCTGTGTGACGGAGAATTCTTCCAACCCTCCTCGCCTCTGGCCCAAGCTGCATGACCTCCCTCTTTTACCATTATCAACCATGGATCCTCACCATCGACATTATTGTACTCACCTCAACTATGACTACTGCCTTTCGCTGAGCTCACCTTCTCCCATCCCGCACATTAAGCTCAGGCCAGACCCAAAATGGCCACCATCCGAATAGTTAAACAAGTGGGACGGCCAATCCCACTTTTAAAGGGACTTCACTAATGGAGCATGACATGCTAAATACCACAACACCACTTTGGTACAGGGATACGACGTTATCATTGCTTTCTTTTCCTTAATGTCTTTACATTTGTTTTTGAGTTTTTTTACTTTTCTTTGTTTCCTGTAACAGAATTTCAATGTTGCCAAGTTTTGACTCTTATTCATAAACTGACCTCTTAACCACTGAGTTCTGATTGTTTTAGTCATTGATTCATAAGGACTACACTGTAAAATAAATGAAACGCCATACTGCATCCACAAGTGATTGTCTCCCTGTATTGTTTCAGATGAAAACAGTTGTTCATTTGAATACAAAAGCCATGCACCTTTTTCTGCCAACTTAGTACTGTAGCTCCATGTGAATGAGAAGAAACACACGACTATTACGGGTGCAGTGCAGTGCATTACAAAGCTTTCTTTTTCTTTTTACTTCACTATCTGAATATCCAGTGCTCTTCTGACTTTTCTGAAATCTCTTTTAATTTGTATCTGAATATTTGATATAAACTCTGTTGCAGATTTTCTACTTTTATTTACTGTGTCATCATAGTGACAGGCTTCTGTGCATTCCACCCGATTCAGCCACGTGGAGGTGTATCACTGAGTTTTCCTTGGATAAAACATCCCCTGATGAGATGAGCTCATTTCCATAAAGGCGTGCATATTAGCATATTTATGACTTCCTTTGCGCCATGTAGGTGAATGTTACATCGCTAATCGCAAATTCTAATAAACATTGTACCCTAACGATGCGTGCATTTGCACTTGGTTCTTTCTGTCTGGGGGGGGTACTTAGTATACAGCCTCCATCATGCAAGGAGACACTAGAATGAATAGCAGTGGATTTTGGGAGGGGCACTTAGAGGATGCCTCTGAGCAGAATTTTGTGCTACGTCCCTGAATGTGATCCTATTTTTTTCAAATAGGCCATAGAAATTCTGTGCTTTAAAAATAACCTGTGTCTGATATGTATTTTATCCAAAAACATTGAATTACTTTGTTAAACAGAGCTGATCCTAACATTTTTGGACCCTAGGGGAAATGTGTTCAGGGCGCCCTCTGAAGTCTCCCAAACTCCTTCATAGTGGGGCTCCACAGATTATTTGTCTCATGTACTACTGTCAGGATGTAGTGGACGTTTCAGAAAATATAACACAAAGTTATTTTTAGAAAGATTACCTACTGCAGCTGATATTTAAGCAGCACAACTGTTGATAGGCTATCTATAGTCAATATTGTTGAAGGTTGAAAAGGCAGACTTTAGCAAATAGGGGGTAAATGAATACAGTTTGAGATGTTGGATGCCTATACAGTCGCACATCTTACACAATCCGCCCCACAACAACAAACTACAGTGTGCTAACAGCAATGTATGGAAGCCCATTTCTACCAATGTGACAGGAAAAAGATTATATTATCATCGTAATGAGAAACTTTCTTAAAATAATGACTTAGTATCTTAAAGTAATGACTTCAAATTAATGACTTAGAACTACCAAGTCATTGTTTTGTGAAAGTTTCTCATTATGATTGAGGATCTTTTTTTTCCATCACACTGGCAGAAATGGTCTTCCATAGAAATGGAAGTGTCCTGCCCTTATTACAGTAACCAAGCAGACAGACAGACAGGCAGTCTACAATACAAACAGCAACAAGCAAAACAGTTTCTGAAAAAGGACAGATAGCCAACATCTATAGCAGCATATTAATATGAAACAACTTACCAATGATATTTTCATCCAGCAGCTGTCAGTTTGAATCCAGTCCAGAAAACAATGAATGTTATATATCTACTGTAGCCCACAGGAAGTGTCCAGACACACACCAACATTCCCACTTGCTCGGCTAGCAGTGGAGCTCATAGCAGCAGGCCATTTGTCAGACATGGAGGGTTGAGTTGTAGAGAGTGAGGAGAAGTTTGTGACCCTAACCCTAACCCTGCTTTTCAGAATCAGAATCAGAAATACTTTAAATTATTTTGCCCCATTACACTGCTAACACTGACAGAATACGACTATCTAGTTTACCAATCAGAGTAGAGAGCGAACACCTGCACCTAAAATAATGCACACATGCATAATGAACATCACCTCTTTATTTTATTTAAACTGATTTCAGAAACGCTCTGGTTAGGTTGTCTTTACACTTTTATTGTCATTGTAAACAGATGTGAAATTGTTTCTGTATTAAGATTACAAAAAGCACAGGAATCATCAACATCTATAAACTTAGCAATAATACTACTAACTGGGTATATATTATGCAGTATTTTAACACATACATACCCCTGCATAAGTCAGTGCCCCACTTGTGCCCTCCCCGTCAAAAATGTCTGGAAACTCCCCTGGCCTCACCCATTTTGAGTCACCGCCTGCCCTCTCATAAATGAAACACAGTCCCTTACTCCCACCCTACACTTCAAACACTTGCTGTGCGTCCTATCATAAAAAATAATGGCTCATTGTTACTCGTTTCAGTAATATCATCTATAAGGACCCGGTTTATGAGGTTTCTGTGATGAAACCTACAGAACTGCCCCTCAGACCTGATTGGTGGATTCATTCTCTCTTGCTGTCACTGCCCTTTAGTTTACTTTCCTCAGCAGGAACAGACCAGATCCGCTTGATCAGGTTTAGACCATGTACTGTCAATTATTATCAGTAGATAATAACATCATTTTACATTATAATACATCTCCATTATTGAGCATGGTGCATACTATCCATATTGTACAGGTTAGAAATATATATATACATATATCTCCTTATATCTTAAGAGATGTATGCACATGCTTGTATTTTTTTACAGGTTGATTATTTACTGAAAGGTGTAAAATTGTGTAAAAACAGAGTTTAAAATGAGTAAAAAAAGGACATTTATAAATAGGAGACGTGAGTGAGGCCTCAGGATTACAATATGCAGTAGATTTTTGACTTATATCTTTAATATTAGGATTCGTCCTCTACCATTTGTCCCCAATAAAGTCAATCTGCTGACCTCTGGTGGTTGACTTCAGGATGGCCTGTGGGAATGTGCAAAAATAGTACATTTGAACAACAAAATACATATACTACCATAATAATTTGAGATTAATCAGGATAGTTTTTTAAGGTGTAAACTATTTAACAATACTGATTGATGAATAATGATTGTGCATTATGCTGGTGGAATCATGTGGCTTATAGTACCTTGGATGAAGACCTTTTTTTTCTAGAAACCTCCATGCTGTAAGCTTGACAATAAGGCTAAAAATAAATTAATTTTAGTCAGAAAAAACACATGCACATTTCACCATCTCTCTTTTAATTGAAAATATTATACAAAGTATTTTCCATGAACATAAATATGAATATGCACATTAATGTCCACAGTTTAGGCCTAATGTATACAGAAAGTTTGGCCACCAGTTTGTCCACAGTAGTTCTACAATCCATCATAACTGACTGACAGTGAGCACTTCTTTAGTCAGGAAACATTTACTATTTATAAAGTCTGCTCATCTGCTCTTATACATTACTGTATAAAAATAAAGGCTTGTCGAATACATTTTAATGTTCATAATGTACACTTTTTAAATGACCCATCCGTAGCTGTAAAGACGCTGCAGTAAGTTCTACCCATTCACTTTCAACTTCCCACAGGAAATCTTTCCATTTTGCTGCGATGTATTAAAAACAATACAAATCTCAACAAAGCTTCCACATACCGTACAGCTAACTTTTGTTTTGCTGCCACTGTCCTTTCAGCTTGAGTCAGACAGATGACAATGAGATTGTAAAGGATGCAAAACAACAAACATGTGCTCCAGTGTACTGACAATACAGCAGAAAAGATAGTATTATCACTATCATTATACATACAGTATATATTTTTTCTTTTCTTTTCCAAATCCAAAAGATATTCAAAAAGGCCTTTGTCAGTCTGTCCAGGGTTTCGCAGGCTTCTTTGGGATTGCTGCGGCCTAAAATTTCTGATTTCACGACAGCTTTTCTAAAAAACTGCAATGCATCTCGTGATGTTTTTAGGCAGTTTTTCTCATTAATTCAATTAAAAATTCAAAGCAACTTGTTGCAGTGGAATTTAATTTCCATTTTATGTCTCAAACCTGCAGGAAACTACACTGATTGGTCAAATCTGTCCAAAAGTTGGATTGGACAATATTGTGGGGTCACGCAGAATTGTGTTAATTGTAGCTTTTGCAACTTCCTGGATGGACTTTTTATAGAAAAACTTATTTGATACAGATCACTTTGAACCATTTAGTGTATTCATTTGGGTACATTCTGACTCTGAAACAAGATCGTAAACCCCATGCACTGCCAACAACAGTCAGATGCTGGTAGGTTGCAGGACCATGTAGTAAAACCTCACAATTAACCACAACACACTAGAATGACGTCACTGTGTGTGGTGGTTAATTGTGATTTGTTTTCTGCGATAAAGATGTTTTGAGTGTACAAACTAAGCTTACATTGTAAGCAAGGTCAGAATCCCAGTGACTGAGTGGAGCAGTCTCTCAGAGAGGAGGGCCTCTGTGTCATGTATCATCAGCCAGCAGTTGTTCTCATTCCTAAATACTAACTGAACAAAGACCACAGCACTGAAATACATGAATCCTGTTTTGAAATTCTAAATATGCCCAAATATTTAGATTTTAAATGGAAAGTAGCTGTGAGTCAAAGTCCAGTCCTTATTTGGTTCAGTAGTTATATTTAATACAATACTCTGTAGGTTGTTTTGAATTTACAAATGTACTCCCCCAACTTTAAATTTCATACAAGCAGATGGTAGAAGATCACTAACTAGGCACCTAAGAGTCTTCACATTGATTTAGAGCAGGGGTCTCCAACTTTGTGAGAGTGAGGGCTCCCTAAGAATGGTCGTTAAATTGATGCTTTCGATAGAATAACACAGCAGTGTAGTCATTCCCATATACAGGGTTGAACAATTCCATTTGGAATCGTGGGGAAGGTATGGTATGAAGGAACTTACGAGAGATCGATTAATATGAACTAAGAGTAAAATGAATTGATAGATCATGAAAATGTAAAAGCCCAACTCAGAGAAAGAGCACCTAATAAAGGCTAGTCTCAATAGACTTCATGAATTCATAAAAACATCAGTAATATATTTAAATGTTTTGACACAATAGAACCCACTTATACATTCCCAGTGACTGGAACCAGTTGCAAAGGTTGCTAAAACTGCACACCTTTATAGCATTATCCTCCTTCAGTAACTCAGTACATGCGTTAGTTTCTGATCACTGCACCTGCAGTGCTATGATTGAGATTTAGATTACAGAACATGCTCTGTGGGCACCTCATATGCTACTCACAGGCTACCAGGTTGGAGACCCCTGATTTAGAGAAAATCTATACCTGTTCCCATTACCACTTCCTGGCAGTGTCAATCAAATGTGAAAGAATGTTTAAGCTCTAAAAAAAACCCTAAAGCCTTTCTCTTTTGGCAGTGAACCAGAATGCTTCCATGTCCATTTAAACCCCTGCTGACCTACACTAGAAAACAAACCACAGCATATAAAGAGAGCATGTAGAAGTAATGAAGTGTTACATACTGTATATCTTTGGTTCCGTATCCAGTATTGCAGGCAGACCTGTATCATACAGCATGTTCCATACAGGCTGTGGCCAACAATATGCTACGTCACACATTTAACAGAAAATAAATACCATATTTACAATTTCAACGCTGCAGGCAACTTTAAATTATTACAACTCAAGTGTGGATGTATTAGCACAGTCGCCATACTGCAGTTCTGAACAGTGCTCAGTATTATAAGAAGCTTTTGCAAATCTGTGTTTAAAGAATTGAGTCTAAGAGCATTTTATAAGCTGAACCACAGACAGAAGTAAAGCCAAAACAAGGATTAGAATACTTTATCATACGTATAATGTTGTCTTATCTTTCTTTCCATAAGTCTGCTGCAGCAATATACTCATTAATACAACGTCACATCCCTTTGAGCAACATTCTCTCCTCCGAACAGTGCTGATATAATGTGCTTAAACCTATTTTGGTCTTGATAATTCCTCCCTTAGGTAGTTTTTAAGTAAAGGTGATGGAAATACCGCAGACCTGCACAACCTTCCACTTAGTTAATCTGTGTATTCATCTGTGGGACACTGTTTACTTTGTGGAATTAGTATGGCAGGAGGAAAAATATATATAATACACCATTTAAAAGCTAAATTTAAAAAAAAAAAAATATAGATAAATAGAAAAGAGGATACTGAACAAATGTATGAAAATCGTATCTATACATAGAATGTATACAGTGCATACAGAATATAAAAGACATAAGTATACTTAGAGCAAGTAAACAGTCTATGTCTGAAAGTCTTGCCATGAAAGCTTCTTGGCGCGAAAGCAAGCGTCAATACGTGAATTTGACCTTTTGATCTACTGGAATTCTTTGCTAAATAGTAATTAAAGCGTTCCCTTTAAAAAACAAATCATCAGCTGACCCTTTTTGAGAGTGTGAAGGGGCAGTAACTCCACTGTTTTGCCAGCGCTGTCAGCTGTTAGACCAGAGATCCGGCCTGGTTCTGTGCAGGCACCATGATGGGCACCCCTCCCATGCGGGTGATGTTGGAAGCCGTGACTGTGGAGGTGGGCAGCGGTGGCGGGGAGGGAGTGGCCTGGAGCTGCAGCTGAGGCTGGCCGTAGGTCTGCGGCAGCGCCTGAGCCTGGGGCAGCTGGGTGTAGCGCTCCGGTCTGGGTAGGGAGCTCCCGTTGGTGCTGGCCTCTGAGGAGATGGGCTGTCCACGCGGCAGGGTGGTGTTGTTGTTGTAGCTGTAGTGGGTGGGGGTGGAGGCACCATGGTGGCGGGATGGCCGATAGCCGGCGGTGCTGCCCGTGGCAGTGATGATGGAGGCAGTGTCTGAGGGGGGGCGCTGGGGGTACTGCTGCAGGTGGTGGTGGTTGTTGTGGTGGTGGTGGTGGTGGGAGAGCTCTTTGTGGTGTGGGCTGGAGGCGATGGAGGACAGGGTGCCGTTCTTGGAAATGATATCTGAACCCATGCCGCTCTTAGCCCAGGACACACGTTTGGGAGCCTGAGCGTCCTCCCTGGAGGTAGACAGGACACAGTCAGGTTACAAAGCCAGACTGTGTGACATTTAAAAGAAGGAATAACTGGTTCCTCCATTTACAGCAAACAGTTGAATTCATAAGTTAACTCAATACACTCAGTTCTGCTGCTACACTGATTGATCAGTAGTCTTTGGTGGTTTAAGTTAGCTTATGTTAGCAAACTTACATGTTACATATACAGTATGAGATTTTAAATATTAATATAGCAGCAAACAGCTATTCTCTATGTAAAGATACAGTGGGGTCATGGTGTCACACTCCCTCTGCCTGTGTACAGCTCAGTAGAACGACTGAAACTGTTCTTATCATCTACATTGGTGAATTAAGTGAACAGTGGAAAGACTAACAAAGACATGTTTTAGTGAGTTTTATTGTTCTGGTCTGAGATGCTGGTGCTCTAGATCTAGTGAATTTCTAAATATATAACCTTTAATAAAAATAGATTTTTGTATAACAGATATCCCCAAGGCAGTTCTTGATGACTCTTCTCTACTTGTAAGTTAAGTTATCCTTTATTAATCCCAGTAGGGAAATTCATTACCTGCATTTGACCCATCCTAATATTAGGAGCAGTGCACTGCAACAAAAAGGAATCTCAAGAAAGTAAAAAAGGCTTGTTTCTGGGAAATGAGACTTATTTTTTGGCTAAAAAGAAAAATAATCTTGTCAAGCATGTTTTGCGTTAGTAGAGTAATCTGGTTTTAAGAAAATATTTCTTACTTTGTCTTAATAAGATATCACAGTTAATATTGAGCTAGATTTAACCAGTAACAACAATGGTTTGCATAAGGTCCCAGCAGAGGAACAAGATTATTTTCCTTGTTTTAAGAGTAAGACCACTTGTATAACTTGTTTAACAGAAAGTCGTCTTGTCTCAGTGTTGGAAATGAAGCAGCTGTTTTAGTTACTTAGTAATTAGTTTTTCATTGTTTTAATGAAAAATGCTAAAAATAAGACAGTCACTTACTTTTATTCTGCTGTTTCTAGAAACTGTCTTATTGGAAGATTTAGTTTGATTAAAAAGGTACAAATGATTACATTCAGCTTAATAAAGTGAGTAAAGTGAGTTTCAATTGCTTGTAATAAGCACAACTTGCTTACATATTTAACATTTCTGGCCTTGCAAGCATAAGGAAAACATGCAAACTCCACACAGAAAGGCCCTGTCCTAGCTGGGATTTGAACCCCAGCTTAGTAAAAGTTATATAGTCTTGCTTTAAACTGTCCCATATACACCGATCAGCCATAACATTGTGAGCATAGATGAAGTGAATAACACTGATTATTTGGTTATCATGGCACATGATATAATAATAATTTAAATAATTTAAATAATCAGATTAACTGATAATGAAAATAATTGTTAATTGCAGCCCTAGGTGGCAGGGGCAGATCTAGAGAAAGATTCATGGGGTATCCAGATAGTGGCATGGAGACTATGGGGGTGGCAGAAATATATGCTGATTTAATCACAAACAATCATCAGTCCTTTTGACTGAGCAGAGAATAAAGTTCATGTAAACAACTTTTAATCATAGCACATTTTGTAAATGCTGCTACAATGGCTACTTGGAGGTGAGCCACTTGAACTCACTTGATTTCGTTGGCCATGTCGTCCTCATTGTCTCGCCGCCTCTTCACCAGGAAAAAGAGGCAGAGGAGGAGGAGGAAGATGAAGCCCACCACTGAGCCCACTGTGGCGCCGGCAATCATCCCCACATTGGTGGCTACAGGAGGAGTTATGGGACACATAGTGATTACATGTCACCAAAGCACGCATACGTCTTTGTCTGTTACTCAAAGGTTGTAAATGAGTCTGTATGACAGAAAGAACAGGAAATGTTGGTGTTACATGGTGGTTGCTTGTGCTGTTGTGTGCTACGTACATGTGACGATCTCCAGGTTGATGAGGCAGGTCTCCGCTCCGGCCGAGTTGCTGGCTGTGCACTCGTACTTCCCTGACATGTTACGGCTCAGGTTGTTCAGGTTCAGAGTGCCGGTCTTCTCGTCTAAAATAGCAGAGAATGAACACATTTTGCCTCTTTATGTGGCATTTGTTGTGTACAGGTTTCAGAATGCAGGCATTGCACATTTTAGGCATTGTATTATCTCAACTGGCTTGAAAAATATAGTGCATATAGTTGCTGTAAATTTAAAAAAGAATCTCTCCAGGGGAGCATGTCCCCGGAATCCCCTAGGTTTGGACTAACCCAATATCTGGCTCCGCCCCCTGTACACATGACAACAGAAAAATCAGACTTCAGATGCACCCGTTAATTGACATATTAGACTTTGGGCACTATGAATATTTGACATTTTATGTGTAATTATACTCTTCAGATGACGAGTTATCGTTTTCATTACCTGTGATAATGAATTACTACACAACAGACAAGGCAAGAAAAGTCTGTTAAAAACAGCTCCGGACCGCATAATACAAAAAAACATTTAGTTGGAGGAGCAAATCTCACAAGAACCTTCCCAATGAAAAAATGAGAAAGCATTTCTGGCTGACAGTATCTGCTAAAGTGAGGTCTGCGCTAAGTTGAACAAGGATCCGGATGCTCTGGGTGTGCAGTTCTGGAGCACTTTTGGAGATGAATGAACCAAATCAGAAAAAAATGATCTAAAATCAAAAACTGGGTTACAGTACACTTCCAGAAACATGAAAGGTAATATGGAACAATGTAATATGTCTAAGAATGGTGACAATGGTATAAAACAATATACTGCTGCTCAGGACATATCGCTCTAATCACATAAAAGCTCTCCACACAATCACATTGGATTATATCCTCAGAGTCCAAAGTTGCTCTTGAATCCCAAAGTTACAATAACACTAAACAATATCTGAAATGATTGATATCTTAAACATGTTCATAAAATACCAGACCTTTTTCACAGCAGCCTTTTTGATATGAAATAGTAGGGCAAACACAGGTGTTACCAATGGTACTGATTAAGATTCTGTTCCATTCAGGTCAAACAGAGTCAGGGTGCTGCAGATGTGCATGTTGGGTCACTGGACAGGCTCTGCTACACTAAATGGAACTGAACCTTAATTAGTATCATTGGTAACACCTGTGTTTACCTTACACTGTAAAATCTGACAAGTTGATCTTACTCAAAAAAAGGTCTATGAAACCAAGTGCCTTGAAAAAGATATGTGAATAGAACAATTAGTCTTAAGTTATGTTTACTCAATATCTACTTCTTATGCATACTTAAATTTAGTTGTACTTGCTTAATTTTGTGAAGTTGTTACAACTTAAAAATGGCAAGTGAAATTAACTTTTTCATGTACTATTTCATGCTGTGAAAAATGTATCTTGTTCACCATCACACAGGTTTCTAGAATGAGAATAATGCAGAAACTCAGGTGAGTCTTTCCTTGTTCAGCAACTCTAGCAACACACGCAGGTACATACATCTTACTTATAAGTGAATAATAATAATAATCTGTTTCTGATTATCCACTTACTGAGCATGGGTGAGAAGAAGACCTCATTGGTGGGACTGGTTTTCTTCCACCTGTACAGAGGAATGGGCTTCCCAGTGCTGGATGTGCATGTCAGAGTCACATTTCCCTTCAGCACCGGCTTCCCCGACATAGAGCACTTAGGAACAGCAGGAGGGACTGAGAGGAGAGGATTACAAAATCTTTATTTTGTTAGATTACACAACAAAATATATGTAATTCACTCAATAATATTTCATAGTCAAGCTGTATGTATGAAGTGAAGTAAATGTCTTTTTACCCTTCACGTCCAGGCTGAGCTCAGCAGTGAGGCCCGGAACACCAGGGATGATGATCTGGCAGAGGTAGCGTCCTGAGTCGGACTCCTGGGTGTTGTTGATGTACAGCGACACATCGCGCGAGGGCATGCTGCTGGTGAAACCAACGCGGCCCTTGAACTGGGGGCTGCCCACGCTCATGAAGTCTTTGGTGTAGGAGATGATCTGGACAAGAGAGAAGACAGGTCAGGAACAAGTATTTGTCCATATTTGTGAACGACGGAAGAAGCAGTTTCATTGACATCCACATCAGTACGATTGCATTGGTGGTTATCCTGGGTCAAAAGAATCAGAGGGATTTTTAAGCCTAATGTAACCCACGTGTAGTTAACAGAATACTCAAATACATTTAGGACCAGTGTCTAGGTTCGTAGGAGGAGTTGAAAGAAAATGACAGACACAATAAGCAACCGGAGCCACAGGGTACTTTAACTTCAAATGTGAATGTATTGAAAGTTGTATAATGAAAAAATAACAAAAGCTCCTTTCTAAACCAGGACTCTGGAACACAAATAGTTTCACAGTGTTTTAGAGTACAAATTAACATAAAACACCTGAGAAATATAATACTCAACGCAGTTCAAATCCACAAAGAAATGTCTTTGGTATGGAATAGAGTTCAGGATTAATAAAGTTCAGGATTCCTTTGATCCACTCAAGTTCCAGTTTAGTTAGTTGTCGTCCGTTCAGCTAGCTTTAGTCAGATAGTCAGTTTCAGTTTCAAAGTGCTTTAGTTCTGTCAAAAGTCATATGGTAAGGCGTGAAGTTGTCAAATGATGAGGAATGAAGGCCGGGATGGTCTCCTCCTCTGGACAAAGGTGGTTCCAACTCCTTGGAATAAGGAGGGGATCTGGTTCAGTACTGGCTCGCCATCTCCTGCCTCAAGGAGAATTCAAAATCCAAATCTAAGGGTATCTCCAGTGAATCTCAAAAACCTAGCCAAGACTCTGCCAAAAGCATTTAACTCCTGGCACACAGATCATAGAATCCCCTCTTCCACTCCTCCTATGTGTCGTCTCAAGGTTGCCTTAATTTAATTTATCCACGTTCTTTTTTGTTTCAGCTTTACGAGTTTATAACTAACTCGTCTGCTTGTGTTGTCGCTTTGACTGCGCTGCCGAACTTCAACCTGGAGGGGTGGGACTTAATTCCCCTCTCCAATCAGATGTCTGTATTGACTAATACAGCCAGTAAGAATCAAGGCTAAGCAACCTTACTTTGACTGACACATTTCTTAGCAAACAGAAAGTAAGAATGAGAATAAAACAAAACTTATAGTATCTATTTATCTACTGGGTTACACTAACATGTCTTGTAAAATTGTAATGATTCCACCAAATGTTCGAGAAATTGCAGAGTAAACTGAGTAACGTGGAACACACTTTGTTCCCCACAGATAAAGTCTTCTCATAGAATCATGTACTGCACATTTGTGTTCCACTTCCATTTACCTAGGCTTAAAAGACATTGAAAGGATTCTTCCAAAATGGAATGTGATATAATGCAACGTGGTGCTGGAACACGAGGCAGGAACACACTTGCCGTTGAATTCTGATGTTTCGGCATGTAACAGGAAGTTGTCTTAACTTCCATGTTCCTTTTCTGGTTGGAGTCCCACCCTGAACACATGCAAAAATTCCGTCATACTCATAGCACCACCTACTGGAAACAGGAAGTAAGCCTCGTATGGCAATCATAATCTGATTTACGTGACATTCGCACATTGTGAGGGGCTTCCTCTTCCTTCCTGAGTCTGAAAGCTAGTCAAAGTTGATTAAAGCTGGATTTAAAAACCTGATAAAATTACTGTCAAACTCCAGAGCTGATTGAGTCACTACCACCTTATTGCGTGGTGGCCAATTAGGTGCGTTGTGAGACGTATGTAGCTGAGGTGAGGGGATAGAGTGGTGTGTATGATTGAGGGCTTTAAACTTTATCGCTCCTGATGAGCAGGTTGGCACCTTGAATGCCAGCCTCTGTACATGAAAGTGACAAATGTTGTGAAGCGTTGGTCCAGTGGTTCCCAACATGAGAGTCAGGACCCCCCTGGTGGGGGTCACCAAAGCTTCACTGGGGATTGCGAGGCCTTCTATTAAGGGGTGTAAGAAAACTTAAAAAAATACACAGTAGGCCTGTATCTCATCGTCCAGCATTAAAAAAGTATGCAGTTATACCAACCAGACAGCTTATAGAACAACCATCAGGGAGAAGTAAACATTGAAATTGTCAAAAAAGAAGAATATAAGATGAAATATCCATAAAATATAGAATTTAGTTAGGGGTTGGCAGTTTAGTCAATGATATAATAACTATTACAAATAGGGGTGCCTTAAGGGAAAATGTTAGGAACCACTGCATTAGACCATAAAAGTACAAAACACCCATATGGCCCACAGTAAAAGCAGGACAAAACAAGACTGAACTGTTTTTTTCAATTCTCAGCTTTGTCAGAAGTTAGCTGCTGGGCTGCATACCCTGCGGATGGCTGTGCATCACTGCAACACAGTAAACTCTCTACAGAGATTGTGGCAACTCGGTTTGGCTTTGAGGTAGTGAGAGCTTGTTCTTTTTATTCATCTTTTTGGATACAAATGACAGTAAAGCAGAGTGAGAGTGAGTTGTTGGATGGCTGTCCAGGCATATATATATATATATATATATATATATATATATTTATTTTAAAAAAGCCTCATTTTTAATCAACTGTGTCTTTCCCAGCTCTCTGGATTCTCTGTTCCTCTGTTTTCTCTTTGATTGTGATCCTCTTTGGTTCATCCATCTGCACAGCCCAATAATCTGACCCAGGCCAGGTCTCTAGATAATGCGTAAAAAAACCAATACAATGCAGGGTCGAGGAGGGGGCTGTTCAGCCGGGCTTGTTACGCAAATCCCCCCTGGTTCATTTCATTTCGATGATTTCATAAATGATCTTATTTGGAAAACACATTTATCTTAATTCAATTAAAGTGTGTGTTTTCCCCAAAGCAGAAAAACACTTGCAGTAAAGACGTGATACAGTACTTGTATGAAAGCTTTAAGCCTTTTTTGTCTTGGATTAATTTCTAAGGGTTTACAAAAGAAGAGCTTTGCCAGATTAACAGTATAAAAACAGGAAAACATCCTTCATTACTGTAATCCCTGATATCATAACCACAGCAGGCAACATAAAAAGCTTTCACTACCAGGCTGTAGATATTATATTGGATATGGAGCCAGATTTGAAAAAATATCACATATGACTGTCTTACTCCTATTGGCTTCCTTACCAGCTGGGTTTGGTTGGAGACAAAGTTCCAGAGGATGGTGTTGGTGCTCAGGTCAATGTTTGGATCTGTGCTGTACGTGGCCCTCAGGACAGCCATATTACCCTTGATCACATCCATACTGGTTTGAGGCATCTGGATTTGGGCCCATATTCCTGGATGCAGGAAGAAGAAAGAGAAAAAGGAAAACAACGATATTTTTTTAAATCAATGCAGATCTGTATTCACTCATTTGCATTTCATATTATGTCGTTACTCATCTCAGTTGCGACTTTCAATAAAACTAGACACTTCGTGTGTCCTGTAAGAAATGTTACAACCGCACATATTTAGGTAAGTTATGATCTAGTCCCACATTATTTATAACAACCAATAAAAATGAACAGTGGTAACCGATAATAACAGCATCTATATTAAAACACGGTTCTACTAAGCATTAAAGCTCTTGCACAACATATGGAGGGTCGTCCATCTACAAAGATCTAAAAATGACAGAGGCATGGCACTGCCTAATACAGGCTGGCTTAAGTTTTGGTCTCACTTTCACAACCAAGATGACCATTCTTCAGGGGTGGCAATGGAGTTGAGATCTACCCAAAATATTTCCATTCCAGCACTGCTCAGGTCCTCACTTCCTCTCCCCCGAAATAAACAATATAATAATAATAATAATCTGGTTGTCCGGTTCTCAGTTCAGAAAATATTTTGGTTTCCATGATTTGTTCTCTCTCAAGTCCTATATCCATCTCTTCCAGAATGCACACCAGGCACCTGACACATACACAGCTGATGTGTTTCTTAGTTTTGTCATATTTGCTGAAACTTTCATTATATCCTTAAAGTAGTTCATGAGACATTTACAAGAATCCCCCTGGCCTAAATGAAAACAACCAATCAGAGCTATGAAACATATAAAGACACTTTGGGTTGGAGGCTTGAAGATAGTTTATTGCTGATTCTCATTCCCAGGGTCCCAAACCGTCAGTATTTGATGCCCCAGGAATGAGACCTAACCCCACTGTAGCCCTTTTTGGCACCACTGGAGTGGATGACATACGCCTGACTCCATTCAAATGCCCTCCGCCCACCCACGTTAAGTGGCCAAGGGACATTATGTCCTGTCAAAGCCAAAAGGGAACCTTTCCTGAAATACCTTAAGAATCTTCAGCCAAACTAAAGACTTATTCCTTCACTCTCTTTTTGTCTTTCTGTTGATTTCTATTAGTTATACAGTCTGTATAAGTGAATCAACTTCTAAACGCCCCCTTTTTTATTTCTCTCTTTTCTAAATACAAAGCCTGACTTCCAGTAACTTCCTGTATTACTCCAGGGATGAAACACTATTTTAAATATGTGATTCTAGCTTGTACACGGGGCTAGTGGGGGAGAGGGATGATTGGGACAAGATTGCTCTATATGCTCCTCTATCATAGACGTGCTTGTTAAAATTGGTGCACATTCTACAAATTTGTGTACAACATATGAACATAGTTTGTTTGTATTTGTGTAAATCTTTTTTTTTTTTTTTTTTTTTTTTTTTTTTTTTTATTATTTTATTATTATAATATTTTATTTTTATTATACCACACCAACCAAACACCCCCAACAACACCCCAAACCACAACAAACTTTTTTTTTTTTTTTTTTTTTTCCCCTCCCCCCCCCCGCCCCCCCCGCCCCCCTTTTTTTTTTTTTTTTTTTTTTTTTTTATTTTTTTGTTTTTTTTTTTTTTTTTTTTGGTTGGGTTTGTTTTTTTTTTTTAAAAAAAAAAAAAAAAAAAAAATGGTTGGTGGTGTTGGGAAAGAAAGAAGGGTTTTTTTTTTTAATAATTAAAATTTTTCCCCTCCCTCCAGGCACAGGAGAAATAAGACTCAAAACTTTGAGATTGGATTCGGCTCACTATTGCAAAGTACAAGTATCTCTAACAACTTAAAGATCCCATTCAGACATATAAGAAAAGCTTCCAGAATCTCTGAATATGCAAATGTTGTTCATTTCTAAAGTTTTGCTGCTGGACACAAGATGTCTCCTACTTCACTGTAAAGTCCATTCTCGGTGGATGTGTACTGGTGGCTTAAAATCAGATGTTCCATGAGCACAGAGAAACTTTCCACTTTCAGCAGATGGATGAAAACATCCTTCTAGTGTCAAACTCTGCACAGACATCATTCAAACAGCACACTGTGGGAACAAGAACAAACACTGATTGTTGATTTGATTTTTAGCTGATTATTGCATTCAGTACAACAACTACAATCTACTGACTTCAAGGGCTCACTGGCAGTCAAATGTAGTGTGCATTAACAGCCAGAGAGGGGCAGCAGAGAGCCAAAACACATCTGTTACTCACAGAAACCAGCCTGAAATCCACTTTCTGCAAATTTATATTTACGGGTTTTTCTTTTGAAAATCAGTTTATAGATGATATCCACTGAAAAACTAGTCAATGGGTTAAAATCACTTCTATTCACTCGAGCACACTGTAACTGTGTGACAGTACATGTTAGACTCAGACAGCGGTTACTGTTGCTCAGTGGCTGACTTAATGTATGTTTACAGTAATTAAGGCGTTTGGACATCTTCTCAAATGAATGGCCACCTCCTTTGGTGGAGAAATGATTTTGCTTTGGATCATATTGTTAGTCAACATAAAGTGTGCATCTGCCCTTTTACTTCCGCATCTGTATCAGCAATCAGCCAGAGATAATCAGCCAGAGATAGTATAAAGGAAGATGGATATACGGAGATGATGGTCTCTCTCTCTCTCTCTCACTCTCACACACACACACACACACACACACACACACACACACACACACACACACACACACACACACACACACACACACACACAAGGGCGACCTTGTTTTTTTCTGTATTTTATCCCTTTTTCATCTTCATCACTCTCCCCTCACTCAGCCTCTCTCCTGCTCTTCTCTCTCTCTCATCTCTAACCTTTCCACCTCTTCTCTACACAGGATTTCTCTTTCTCCCCCTCAAATAATATTCCTTTTAACAAGTCCAACATGGGGAAAAAGTGTACCTGAGTCAATTTTGATCAGTCTCAAGTGGCTGCCAGCATTAAGTGTGTGTTCATCAGGAAGCATGTGGCAGGTGTGTGCACATTTTTTATAAATTGATGGCATTTCTGCATGTGTGAACCAGTGTGATTGCCAGGGCTTCATGTGAATACTAGTGCAGAATGATGGAAATCTAGCTAATGACATCCACTTATGTGCACAAACACTCATCCACTACACTGCACTCCAGAAACAGTGATTTTCAAGCCACATGTGCATATTGTATTAGCCTACTTCACTGTACTGCAACATTCCTACTAATTAGCACCGCTGTCACAATGGTCACCAACAAGAATATTTTACAGGAAGTGATGCAACCAAGTGTAAGCGTAAGTCCAATGTCAAAGTGTGAAGCAGTGTTATGTCCAGACTCATCAGTGATAGCTGAACCTACCTCTGCACCGAAGAAGAAACTTGGTCCACTAATGTCATGGTACATGAACTGTGGGTATTGAAGTCTGCAGTATTTAAATAGTTGCCTTGGGCTTGCTGCCATTCGGGGCCGAGTTTCCCAGTGCTGCTTTAAAGTCTCAATGAAATAACATCTTTGGAGTTGCCCAGCTTGCCTAATATGTGCTTTCCTCTGAAATACAGTAGGGTGGGGACAGTGAAAATGGTGAAATCAGCTAAAGAGAGAAAGGTGAAGCTGTAAGGCTCTGATTGAAATGAGTTTTTATTTACAGCTCCTACTTCAGCACAACATATACTTTTAGGCATTTTCTTTCATATTTAAACCTCTAATAACTGAATTAGGGCTGTGGAAACAAATTGGGAACACAACATTGACATATGATAACCTGTTAAAGGTCCAGTGTGTAGAGCTACAACAATGCACCATGTAAAGAGATCTCCACAGAGCGTAGGTGTAGGTATCAGTTTCTCTGTCACTGTGGAGACGGATGGAGCTGACAGTGCTGACAGAGACAGAGTGTGTGTAGGCTATACTCCTGTAAAAACACTTTTGCTAATAAAGAGAAGAAATTAAAATATAAACAGAGGTGAGGGAGGAGATAAAAAAAAGGACAGCGGAAGAAGGGAATGTGCTGAAAAGAAGAAGAAAGGAAGGACAAGGGATGGCAAACAAGACGAAGAGATTCATTGTGTCAATTGCTCTTTAGACCCTAAGAAGATTTGCTGTAGCAGTGAGAAGCAGAGCTCTTGTCTGGAGAGATGCTGACTGATGGATGGATCAGTGGACATGTAGAGATGATAAAAAGAGGCTTAAACATAAACATAATGCGTCACTGTGGAGTGGCTCTCTGATGATTGCAGTAAGCCTGTAACAGACTCCACTTCTCGGACAGAAGGATGGATGGAAGGATGGATGGATTGACGGAGGAACAAGGGGACAAGGATGCCATAACAGACAACGCAGTCATCCACCTGTGTTCTTAAAGCAACAGCAAGTGGAGTTTGAACTTTGACTTTTTATTTTTGGGAAATACACCTATTTGTTTCTTGTCTAGAGTTAAACAAGAAGACTGATGACTCTCATGTCTGTACGCTAAATATGAAGCTACAGCCAGCAGCCGATTAGTTTAGCTTAGCATACAGACTGGAAGCAGGGGTAAACAGCTAGAAGGCTCTGGCCAAGAGTAACAAAATCCACCATCAGCACACTAACCAACACATTTTATCTTGTTAGTTTAATATAATTGGGTTTTTGGGCTGGACTATAGGACTTGACCTTCTCCCTGTGTTTGTGCTAAGCTAAGCTAACCATCTCCTGGCTGTAGCTACATGTTTAACAGACAGATGGAGTGACATCAATATTCTCATCGGACCCTTAGAAAGAAAGCAAATAAGCATTTCAGTAGCGTCGCCATAGAGGGGGCCACACAGAAACAATCGCTGGGCCCCCCCGAGGCAAGGTATGCTTTAGGGCATGGCTACCATATGACTGATGAATCAAATGGGAGTGTCGTTGTGGGGTCAGAGGGACCTACGAGGTTCCAGCTTTGCTTGGATATGGTGCTTACTTGCTATTGTGGAAAATAAAAAGTAGTATTTTTCTTCTAAAAGTGCAATTTGTGACCAGTTGTGTGCATACAAGACTTCACAGCAGGCATCATACC